CTTGGCCGATTGAACTGAAACTTTGTAGGAATGATCGAATCATGGACCTGACAAAGTGTTGTTATTTTTCGGGTCAATCAGAAATAAAATTTGGCTGCCATGGCCGCTATTTTGTTAATACCTGTTTCAAACTTAAAAACAAGTTCTAATAGACCGTTCTCACTGAAAATCGGTCTAGGAATGATCAGCTCATGGTCCTGACAAAGTTAAGTTAACATTATACTTAACTATTTTTTACTCAAATTGGTACATATTTCAACAACAAAAATAAATACTGTAGGACTCAGGTGACCGTTAAGGCCCATGGGCCTCTTGTTTTGCAGAGTTATGCCACTTTTGGTGAAATAAAATACCAAAACGGCATCTCTTAAAATGCATGCACTGCGTCAATTTAAAATTAAGTATGCAAAGATTCAGATTAATTTTCATTTTGAGACATTTTCAGAGAGTAATACACTATACATAAAAGAAATTTCCCTGATGACTGCTGTTTAAGTACATGCATAAGTTTTAATTAAACTTTGTTCATTTTGTCAATATGCAAGGTAGTTGCTGAAAATGGTGTTTGATAAAATTAAATTATCGAGACAAATTGATGATAGAAAATAAGTTAAAAAAACAACAGCACCATCAACTTTTTGTGACTGTTATAAAATATTCTGTCTGTTAGTTGTTATTTTAACAACATGAACAACTACAGTGGATAAGTACATGATATTTAGTGTGGTCATAGATCAAAACAGTGGTATATATCCAAGATGGCGGACATTTGTGAACAGGGGGGTTGCTCGCCATTAAGCCCCCTCCTAACTTTTAACCCATCTTTTTTCTCAGGATGGGGGGGCTTATTGGAGGTAAAATAGGTATATCATGATACAGCTGATTTATTTATTTATCAAAGTTGTTTTTGTATAATAGTCTATTAGAACCTGGAAGGCAGGGGAGGGGTAATTTTTGTTTGCTTTACCAGTTCGTTTATTTAACAGCTTGTCCAACAACTGCTGGCATCGCTGTAGTGTCCAAGGAGTTCTGCTCTAAACAGATTACCGACAGTACACCAATCTCTATGTTACTACCAACAAAGAAGGATGCTGGTCTCTGTTCCTATGTACTGGTATACTTCCTCTTAAGGAAACAGAAGAGTTTCCTGGAGAAATACTGCAAGGCTAAAAGACAGAAGTAAGTACGACGTCATATCTTCATATTAGAACAGATTTTCAAAGACAATATCTGAAAGAAAATTATTTGTGTAATTGATGAGCAATGATCTTCTTTACTTGACAATAGCTTTTAAATTCCAATTCGCTTAATCACAGAGTGACTGACTTGCCAAAGGTCAGAATTCAAGACTTGAGTCCTGCCCACCTGATCAGCTACCATCCAGACCGAGACATTCTCCCAATCGTCCTCGCCAACTGTAACTACTCGTTTGAGGTTGGTAAGGGTACCAAGATTGAGTACGACTTTGGAAACATCGAGAGACAACTGGGAGACCGATTCTTGTTTGCAAAATCATACATTGATATAGACGAGGTAAGGGTGATGATAGAAAAGCTTAACTGCCAGATACTAGTACATGTATTTAAGGATTGAATCTTGCTTTTGTCTAGTTTATGGGGTGAAGAACTTGGTTGGCCTATGAGACAAACTTAATGAGCTGCAAAGCAGTTCATATTGATTTGTCACAAGGCCAACTCACTTCATCACTCAATGAGATTGATCAATCACCAGAAAGTCTGATTCTTTCAAGAATGACTGATTCTGTAAGTGCTCTAGAGATCATGACTACTGAATTTAAACAATACTTCTGGGGAATTAGTAGGTCTACTTTTCTTTTAGGCTTCCTACTTCATACTGATAAACTGTGGACATTAACAGCTGGCTGGTGATAATCTTTACTTTTGGCCTTGATATTTTATTACATACATAATGTAGCTTGGCTAGTGATTTTAGACCATATAGTAGTTTTTTCCATTGTTTCCTAGTATAGTGAGTAGTGACCCAATTCTTAGCACAGATGTATAATACTACACCCACCAAACCATCACAACTAAAGACGGTGGGTCATACATTTGATGTAGCATGTAAATGTTAATATACCTCACAAGTTGTTAGCAATATAACCTGGTACTGTATACCAACTGCAGTTAAATGAGGGATGATATTTTGACTGAAGTTTTCCTGAGGAAGCAGTGAGTAACTGGATATCATGTCATCTGATCAATTATTCGGGGGCATACAACTCATTCATCAAGGACCCTAAGGAAGCTGAGGTTAATCATTACAAACATGGATGGAAATGAAGCCATGATAATAATGCTGAACACAAACACCAACTACATGTGACATTATCTGATCAAACCGTTTGTTTCAGAGGTTGTAATAGAAACTCCTTACCATGATAGTGACATGGAATAAGACATTAATGACAGGTAATGTTGTGATGTTACAGATTGAGGTGATGACCTACAGGTCCGATGTTACCAATGCTGTCGTCTTCAAAAATTTGCGGGAGAAAATACCACAGGTTTGGATATTTCTGATATTCCACAAACCCTTTTTGCGTATTGCGTGAGTGTTGTTCAGTGGGAGGCTTATAATATTATCTCTCATCTTCGAATTAGGAGAGACATATTGCTTAAGTACAGATTCTTCTGGTTCTTCTGATAATTTCTTGTCCTGGTCGTAACTTCTAAACCATTCAAGATATATAGATGAAATTCGCAGTATACCTGCATCATTCACAGTCACAGATAATGTGTAGTGCACTGTCAATAGGTCATTGTGACCTTGACCTCAAAGTCAAAGGTCAAATTTACACAAAGTCTTCAGTTGTAAATTTTAGAATTTACCCTGACCTCCCGCATCAGAACTTTTTAATTGCATTAATTCATACATATATTTTATAATCAGTAGTAGGCAGGTTCTCTAATAACCTAATTATATTTAAGAAAATAGTAGATACAGGGTTATTTAAATTTGTTTTGTGTAACAATAGGGGAAAGAATATTGCCCAATAAAGGGCGACATATCTCTTTGTTATAACAAAAACAAATCTGTAGTTTCCTGTTTTAAATAATTCTGTTATCTATCCCCTTTGACTCGCCATCACCTTGGGCAGACGGACATGCCATTTGCAGCATCACCACATCAGCTTATGATAATGACCTAAATGAATTACCCTTGTACAATGTTTAAATTTGTCTGATGGCTCACCAGTGTTATAGTAAAGGTGTCAATACATGGCTGTATTTCTCTCACTTTGTTACTCTTATGCGTATCAGATACAGCTGGGGTCTGCGGTGCGACACCAGATCTGCCAGGAGTTACGGAATCTGCCTGACATCTGTGACTGTCTGGACAAGCTAGACATCACTATCAGTTTCCTAAAGTCTGTTGGGGAGGACCCAATCCTCTCTCTCGACACCTTCATGTCTCAGACCCTCAAACTGACACACCCACTTGTCAGTCCCAAGGTAAGTTACCCACAAACTGACACACCCATTGGCCAGCCCCAAGGTAAGTCACCCTCAAACTGACCCACCCACTGGCCAGTCCCAAGGTAAGTAACTCTCAAACTGACACCCCCACATGTCAGTCCCAAGGTAAGTACCCCTCAAACTGACACAACCATTGGCCAGTCCCAATGAAAGTCACCCTCAAACTGACACACCCACTTGTCAGTCCCACTGAAAGTCACCCTCAAACTGACACACCCACTTGTCAGTCCCAAGGTAAGTTACCCGCAAACTGACACACCCATTGGCCAGCCCCAAGGTAAGTCACTCTCAAACTGACACACCCACTGGCCAGTCCCAATGAAAGTCACCCTCAAACTGACACACCCACTGGTCAGTCCCACTGAAGGTCACCCTCAAACTGACACACCCATTGGCCAGTCCCAATGAAAGTCACCCTCAAACTGACACACCCACTTGTCAGTCCCAAGGTAAGTTACCCACAAACTGACACACCCATTGGCCAGCCCCAAGGTAAGTCCCTCTCAAACTGACACACCCACTGGCCAGTCCCACTGAAAGTCACCCTCAAACCGACACACCCACTTGTCAGTCCCAAGGTAAGTTACCCACAAACTGACACACCCATTGGCCAGCCCCAAGGTAAGTCACCCTCAAACTGACACACCCACTGGCCAATCCCACTGAAAGTCACCCTCAAACTGACACACCCACTGGTCAGTCCCACTGAAGGTCACCCTCAAACTGACACACCCACTGGCCAATCCCACTGAAAGTCACCCTCAAACTGACACACCCACTGGCCAGGCCCACTGAAAGTCACCCTCAAACTGACACACCCACTGGCCAATCCTACGGTAAGTCACAACCTCAGAAGTAAGTCACAACCTCAAAAGCGCGGGGTTTTAATGTTGGAGGAAACTGGAGTACCGGAAGAAAACCCATGTGATGGGGCAAGTGACCCCATACCTTATCACGTCTGTTCTCTCCAATCGAAACCCCAGTGGCCTTGGTGAAAAGCAAGTGCACTATCTACTACATGTGCCACTCGACAACCCCAGCCAATAGATAGCATTTATAAATTTAATTTAAATGTTATGTAAAATTTATCAACAACAAAAAGTTATATTTCTGGAAAGAACTTGTTTATAATGCACATAATGGGTTTTTTTCTGTCCACAGTCCAGGGCAGTTTGTCAGTGTCAACATGTACAATGTCTGTGGCTGACTCTGGCTCAAGAAAAGACAAAGTGTCTAGCAAAGCATAGGAAGGTAAAGTAGGCTGTTATTCTGATGTATAGATATTAACATAGAAAGGTAATGTAGGCTGTTACTCTGATGTATAGATATTAACATATTAGAAAGGCAATGTAGGCTGTTACTCTGACGTATAGATAGTAACATAAAAAGGTAAAGCAGGCTGTTACTCTGATATATAGATATTAACATAGAAAGGTAAAGTAGGCTGTTACTCTGATGTATAGATATTAACATATTAGAAAGGCAATGTAGGCTGTTACTCTGATGTATAGATAGTAACATAAAAAGGTAAAGTAGGCTGTTACTCTGATATATAGATATTAACATAGAAAGGTAATGTAGGCTGTTACTCTGATGTATAGATATTAACATAGAAAGGTAATGTAGGCTGTTACTCTGATATATAGATATTAACATAGAAAGGTAATGTAGGCTGTTACTCTGATGTATAGATATTAACATAGAAAGGTAATGTAGGCTGTTACTCCGATGTATAGATATTAACATAGAAAGGTAAAGTAGGCTGTTACTCTGATGTATATATAGTAACATAGAAAGGTAATGTAGGCTGTTACTCCGATGTATATATAGTAACATAGAAAGGTAATGTAGGCTGTTACTCTGATGTATAGATATTAACATAGAAAGGTAAAGTAGGCTGTTACTCTGATGTATAGATATTAACATAGAAAGGTAATGTAGGCTGTTACTCTGATGTATAGATATTAACATAGAAAGGTAATGTAGGCTGTTACTCTGATGTATAGATATTAACATAGAAAGGTAATGTAGGCTGTTACTCTGATGTATAGATATTAACATAGAAAGGTAATGTAGGCTGTTACTCTGATGTATAGATATTAACATAGAAAGGTAATGTAGGCTGTTACTCTGATGTATAGATATTAACATAGAAAGGTAATGTAGGCTGTTACTCTGATGTATAGATATTAACATAGAAAGGTAATGTAGGCTGTTACTCTGATGTATAGATATTAACATAGAAAGGTAATGTAGGCTGTTACTCTGACGTATAAATATCAACAAGTGTGAAAGTGTATGCTTTTTAGCCCACCATCATCAGCTGTTCAAAAGTTGTTCTATTTAAAAAATTACACTCTTTTCATAAGCTCACCGGGTCCGAAGGACCAAGGTGAGCTATGCCATACAGTGCCTTGTGCCATACAGTGGCGTCTGTTGTCCGTCCGTCAACAATTTCTTTAAACGACTTCTTCAGTTTGATATACCCAATTCAAAGAGAAGAGGAACATTTCTGTTATCATACTTACAGGATGTGTTTGACAGCCTTGGTGATGAGTTCAGAAAGGAGCTGTCGGAACAACAGCGTGATTATCTCCAATATTTTTGTGACGGTCTGCAGACAGACAAGTTGGACTATCTCATGGAACTTCTGTTTGAGTGTATCATGTTGATGATCGCCATTCCACAAAATCAGGATGATGAGGACTACATTGACATACTTGGTCAAAGGTGAGCGTCATGTTACGTCATTTGTAAATGTAGGTATGGGTCACAGTATGGCCGACTCTACACAGCTTCTTGGTCAGAATAGTGCCATTTTGATTTAGGATCACTTAATCTAGTCTCCAATCACTCAATCAATGAATATCTTGACATCAACTTTGTCCTGGAAAGCCAATGATACAATCCTTACATAGAATCAGTAAGAATATCACCTGGAAACTGTTACACCTAGCTGCTGACCCAAAACAACTATGATGCCATTGAATTGAATAATGGCATATTGTCATACTAGAACAAATTGATGTTTTACCACCAGAAGCTAAGAAAACCTAAACAGAAGACCTCTACATGATCACTACTACACAGTATGCATAGACAATCTATACATGATCACTACTACATGGTATGCATAGAAAATTTCTACATGATCACTACTACATGGTATGCATAAAAAATCTATACATGATCACTACTACATGGTATGCATAGAAAATTTCTACATGATCACTACTACATGGTACGCATAGAAAATCTATACATGATCACTACTACATGGTATGCATAGAAAATTTCTACATGATCACTACTACATGGTACGCATAGAAAATCTATACATGATCACTACTACATGGTACGCATAGACAATTTCTACATGATCACTACTACATGGTACGCATAGAAAATCTCTACATGATCACTACTACATGGTACGCATAGAAAATCTCTACATGATCACTACTACATGGTACGCATAGAAAATCTCTACATGATCACTACTACATGGTACGCATAGAAAATCTCTACATGATCACTACTACATGGTATGCATAGAAAATCTCTACATGATCACTACTACATGGTACGCATAGAAAATCTCTACATGATCACTACTACATGGTACACATAGAAAATTTATACATGATCCCTACTACATGGTACGCATAGAAAACCTTTACCTGACTACTACATGGTACGCATAGAAAATCTCTACATGATCACTACTACATGGTATGCATAGAAAATCTCTACATGATCACTACTTCATGGTATGTATAGAAAATCTCTACATGATCACTACTACATGGTAAGCATGGTAAACCTCTACATGATCACTACTACATGGTACACATAGAAAATCTCTACATGATCCCTACTACATGGTATGCATAGAAAATCTCTACATGATCACTACTACATGGTATGCATAGACAATCTCTACATGATCACTACTACATGGTACACATAGAAAATCTCTACATGATCCCTACTACATGGTATGCATAGAAAATATCTACATGATCACTACTACATGGTATGTATAGAAAATCTGTACATGATCACTACTACATGGTAAGCATGGTAAACCTCTACATGATCACTACTACATGGTACGCATAGAAAATCTCTACATGATCACTACTACATGGTATGCATAGAAAATCTCTACATGATCACTACTACATGGTACGCATAGAAAATCTCTACATGATCACTACTACATGGTACGCATAGAAAATCTCTACATGATCACTACTACATGGTACGCATAGAAAATCTCTACATGATCACTACTACATGGTACGCATAGAAAATCTCTACATGATCACTACTACATGGTACGCATAGAAAATCTCTACATGATCACTACTACATGGTACGCATAGAAAATCTCTACATGATCACTACTACATGGTACGCATAGAAAATCTATACATGATCACTACTACATGGTACGCATAGAAAATCTATACATGATCACTACTACATGGTACGCATAGAAAATCTATACATGATCACTACTACATGGTACGCATAGAAAATCTATACATGATCACTACTACATGGTACGCATAGAAAATCTATACATGATCACTACTACATGGTACGCATAGAAAATCTATACATGATCACTACTACATGGTACACATAGAAAATCTATACATGATCACTACTACATGGTACGCATAGAAAATCTCTACATGATCACTACTACATGGTACGCATAGAAAATCTCTACATGATCACTACTACATGGTACGCATAGAAAATCTATACATGATCCCTACTACATGGTACACATAGAAAATCTATACATGATCCCTACTACATGGTACGCATAGAAAATCTATATATGATCCCTACTACATGGTACACATAGAAAATCTCTACATGATCACTACTACATGGTACGCATAGAACATCTCTACATGATCACTACTACATGGTATGTATAGAACATCTATACATGATCACTACTACATGGTATGCATAGAAAATATCTACATGATCACTACTACATGGTATGTATAGAACATCTCTACATGATCACTACTACATGGTATGCATAGAAAATATCTACATGATCACTACTACATGGTACGCATAGAAAATATCTACATGATCACTACTACATGGTACGCATAGAAAATCTCTACATGATCACTACTACTTGGTACGCTTTGACCCATTTTGATATTTTTTCCGTTGATTTTTCTTAATTTATAGCCTTCAACAAAATCTGGAGGGTTACTTATACAGCCCCATGTATGATGAGGATCCTCAACTCCCTGACTGGATGATGGAGACCGTTGCCAGACTGGACGGGGAAAATGGGGAGAAACTACTGGTGTCACAGTGTGTCAGTGTGTGGCTCTTGTTGTTCCACGCCCACAGCAGGAAGGAGAGGGAGAGAATTTACTAGGTGGAGGAGAAACTACTTGTGTCACAGTGTGTCATTGTGTGGCTCTTGTTGTTCCACACCCACAGCAGGAAGGAGAGGGAGAGAAATTTACTAGGCTTTGTGTGGCTCATCATATTCCAAACTACAGCAGGAAGGGGAGAAAGAGGTATTATGTCTCAAAGAACTTATACCCATTTTATACCGTAACAAGAGACGCATCCTTCAAGATGATACTATTTACACCTCTGGTACATTATACTTAATGAGATTTCACGAAGCAGTATGTGAATTTTGAACACAAAAATAGGGAGGGAATGTGTTTATAGGTATCAATAACTTGTAGTTGTAGCAAGTCCAGCTATATTAATGAATATAATGTAGGGTGTAAATATCCAGTTCTTGTATCATCGTTTATCACAACTGGCACACCTTTACCATAGCCAGTCACAGGCAGACCTTGGTTAATGAGAATGACATCCTATCTGTCTGCCGTCATTTTGTTGTTATGCGACTTTGTAAATAGCTGTGATTTGATTTGTTTTTTGAAATCCAAAACTGGGTAAATATATTTTGTTAAGTTTTATATCTGTTATAGTATATTCCAGAGCAATTGTTACTGCCTCTTTGCTCATAATTGAACCTGTTTCTACACGGACTCTGGAACAGACATGTAGTCTGGTACAATCAGTAACGATGTATACGATGATATGAGTATACAATGCACATGTTACGCTATATTTAGTCAGTTAATCGTATACAATGATATGTGTGTACAATACATGTTACGCTATATTTAGTCAGTTAATCATATACAATTATATGTGTGTACAATACATGTTACGCTATAGTTAGTCAGTTAATCGTATACAATGATCTTTGTGTAAAATACATGTTACACTATAGTTAATCGTATACAATGATATGTGTGTACAATACATGTTACACTATAGGTAATCGTATACAATGATATGTGTGTACAATACATGTTACTCTATATTTAGTCAGTTAATCGTATACAATGATCTTTGTGTAAAATACATGTTACACTATAGTTAATCGTATACTATGATATGTGTGTACAATACATGTTGCGCTATAGGAAGTCAGTTAATCGTATACAATTTTATGTGTGTACAATACATGTTACACTATAGTTAATCGTATACTATGATATGTGTGTACAATACATGTTACGCTATATTTAGTCAGTTAATTGTGCTACAAGTGCCTATGGTATTGCCTATACAGTGGTATTATATCAGTAGGAGGTATTTGTTGGTATTTTTACCATTTCGTTAAGGTCTGTTCTAGTGCCTTTACTATACAGTAATGTGTTGGAAAGGACTCGGCTACTTGGTAATTTTATATCAAGTACAAAATGTATATAGTCACTATTGATTAGGTATTAAGTAACAGCTTCGTGGTTAATGTGATAGGAATGCTTTGACACACAATTCTGTGTATGTAACAGTGTTGTGTTTATAGGTTTTTTCCATATATCAGTTTCTGTATTTCATTTTGTTGATTTTCCTATTGCTTTTTTTGTTCATACTTTTTGGGTCAATCTTTCCTTTAGTTGTAGGCCATAGACATGATTTCCAATGCATGTCCTGATAGTAGAATTGCAAATTCAACTCTTGTAAATCTTTAATAAGGTTTACATTAAAATCTGATAATCCAAATAATGAACATTGGTTTACAGTGGTGTACGTACTGTGAGGGACTTGAAGTAACCCTTCAATTCTCGAATCATTTTTTAAATGTATATTTTTTTTCATGTTACATTTTGTATTACACTTTCCTTAAAAATACTGGTATCTTTCTCATGTCTGAAAATTTTCTTAAAAAATAACATTCATTTTCCTTTATTTGATTAATTTGTGTAAAGTTATAATCCACCTACTGGTAACAATACTATACATATATATATATATCAGGTTGTATACGTAGCTTTCAATAGCTTCTCCTAAAAGCCTATGTGAATGTTGCATATTATTGCACTACAGCTGCTGTGATAAAATAAACATTTATAATCAGTCACAGAAAAAAACGTATGTTACTTCTTTCACCGGTTTGCATATTCACAAGTATGTGATCAATTTGTAGTTTTAAGATGAACTGTTTACAGACAATCGTGAAATAATTATGCATGTGAGCGAGTATATAAATATTGGATATAGCGTTGTATCCTGTTACTGTAATTGATACTCTATTGTTTGTTGATGTTGGAAGGACGCATATGTAGATGTTACACTCAAATCTGCGAGGTATTTGTTTGTATTTTGCTAGGACGTTGTAATACTTTACACGTGTATGTGCTTTTTGAGATGCATAATTACTTGTAGATAAATTTGATGTTCCCCTATGGTAATATTCTGTTGTCATTTGATACTCCCCTTGGTTTTATTCTGTTGTCATTTGATGCTCCCTTTGGTAATATTCTGTTGTCATTTGATGTTCCCCTATGGTAATATTCTGTTGTCATTTGATACTCCCCTTGGTTATATTCTGTTGTTAGCTCACCTGCCCGAAAGGCAAGTGAGCTTATGCCATGGTCCGTCGTCCGTATATTCTGTTGTCTTTTGATACTACCCATTGGTAATATTCTGTTGTCATTTGATACTACCCATTGGTAATATTCTGTTGTCATTTGATACTACCCATTGGTAATTCTGTTGTCATTTGATACTACCCATTGGTAATATTCTGTTGTCATTTGATACTTTTCTGTATTCACAAGGACTTCATAGTAATGAATGCTTTTCCTTTTTTGTGTACATACTACATATACTGTATTATAATTAGCTTTAATTGTAGAGGATATAGGAGATTTTGAACTAGATATTGGAGGTTTGTGTTAAGAGTGATGTCCCAGCTTTGCCAAGTAGAGATTAATGTTTCCACTTTGCAATTCAGTACACCAGAATATCTATTTTTACATGTTACTAAATCAGGAATGTTTTATTGGTTATGGAAGATGTATCAACAACTAGCCAGACACCTGATTTTATACGATTTGCTACTGTCAGTATAGTTTTGATAAGTCAAATTGTACATACATTATAGATACTTGCATTGTTATGCTGGTGTTATGTGGCTGTATAGCCTAAATTGTAATATTTTGTCCTTTCCATGATTTTGTAATCTCGACACCTTTTCATTTTAACAGTTGAATGTTTCATGTGTAATACATATAACACTACTTAATAGAAGACATGAGTTGTAAAAGAAAAAAGAACGGTAACGTATCTACTGAAGCCAATGTTGGTTTTGTTACTTTTGTTTCTTGTATTTGATTTTGCTACATAATTTACTAAACACTGTTTAGTCCAATTGTGTCAGAGATAAGAACCAACTAAATTAATAAGTGCTTAAGGATTTATTACACAAGTTGTGTTTGTCTTTATATCATGTATGTTTCCGAGTACACTTGCTTTTGTTGCCAAATTTCACTAAACCTGTTGATGTAAGGTTGGTGTGAATAGTAATACATGTAGTGAGATTATAGATAAAAACCAAATTTGATATGTAGTGAGATTATAGATAAAAAACCAAATTTGAGATGCATGTGCTTGTTTATTTTTTATCAGAAGTTTTTTTCTTTTCTACCTATTTCCGGTTTTGTTATTCATTATTCTCACTCTACATCCAATACCAGTGACACTTTTCTCCCCAGAAGTTTCTCCCAGTGTATTGCAAAATGTTTTATAACACCAACATTCCATAGGAATTAGCATGTATACATTATTATGGCTTGATGTAGTACATTAGAATTAAGTTACGGTACTCTGCATGTATATGTAATGTGTTGCTATTGTTGTGTTAGATTTGTACACGAAGTCCAGGTAGCAGGCTCTATACTTAATGTCACTACTAACAACTTGGCTTTGGTGGCACTATGAGGTTTAAATTCATGTTATTTTACCCAAAGCACTTACTTTATATTGATTAACATTTAAAATCAACGATTATTTTTGAAATTGAATGGTTTGAGATTTAGTTTTGTTTTGAAATTAAGTTTGATTTAATACTTTACAATAGTATGTAACTAATAATGTACTGCAGTTTTTTGATGAAATAAAATTTAATAGAACTAAGAAATCTGTTTTTTCTGTAGTTCCAACTATCATTGCAGCATTCTATCACACAAAAAAGACAGATTTCTGAGACGTAACATCAACACGCTGATACTGGAGTTTAGGAAGACAATCAAGATACTTTATTTCCTATACAGAATGTACATGTTCAGTACTTTATTTCCTATACAGAATGTACATGTTCAGTACTTTATTTCCTATACAGAATGTACATGTTCAGTACAACAGACCCTTGTTCACAATAGTGTAGTTACACAAGAACTTTTCTACAGGTAACAAGTGATGAATCTTTCTTGTACATTTTCTTCACTTAATCTTTCTGAAATAGCCAAAAATAATAAGGCACATTTAATTAACATAAATTAATTAATACCATAAGGAAATTTACTGACCAAAAATACAATCCTGTTGTACCTTTATGTTGCAAGGAGATCCATTTTGTATTCTTCCATTATTATAAATACATATAGGTAACAGTCAATAATAAATTTGTATTAGGATAAAAATAGGTGTCAATAATATAAACTACAAATAAAAGTAATACAGAGAAGTTACAGGAATGTAGGGATTGGTACGCAGTATATACACAGTATATATTTATTTATAATTTAATTTACATGATTGTGCACAACTACAAGATTGTACGTTATTACCCATTTTGAAAATCCCTTTGGTTTTGGCGGTACATACAGGCAAATGTTATAAATATGTAACTGATGAACGTTACAATATTGTAATATTACCAGTTTAAAGTTTTCACATCAAAAGCATTTTTCTAAACAAATCTTCTATTATGTTTCATATTTTCCCGACAAAAATTTAAACCACTTTTCCAATTACAATATTTAATTGTTTTACGAGATATTTGAGTCCTGGACGAGAGCCTTTCTAGTGATAACCAAATATATCTCATATCAATGGGACTCGGCAATATTTTGAAAATGGTTGACTCGCCTGAAAAATCCCAACAAAATAATTTTATTAAATCAAATCATCGAATTAAAAGTGCACAACAGAATTATGTAAAACTGAAAAGTCAATAAATTCAAAACCACAGCATTACTAAAACCTTAATCTCATTGGCAATAACGTTAGCTACTACACGGGAAGTTACTGAGGCTTACATTACATACAGTATTGCACAGGTACTTTCAAACAATAAAAGAATCTACTCTTTTAATGTGTCTAATAATGTAAAAAGTACATTTCAGTTTTTGAATTTTTTATGCAAAAATACAGGAAATGCCCGCTTGTAGCACATAATACAAATATAGCATTTCACAAACACGTAGATATATACAGCATTTCACAAACACGTAGATATATACAATCTGTATGTTTATCTGTTCTTCATTAAAATGTTAATATAGTTAAACTAAAATCTTATAAAAAACACACCTGTCTTTGTGGTTACATCATTTAAGTTTGTGGTTCCCTTACAGAATGACATCATTTAAGTTTGTGGTTCCCTTACAGAATGACATCATTTAAGTTTGTGGTTCCCTTACAGAATGACATCA